GACTAAAGAGGAAGGCCCGAAGGCAACCCACCAGTCTTCGAGATCCATGGTTCAGAACTTGAAGTTTAGGTCCGGGTTTATTAATCTAAACTACATTAATAAACTCTATTTGTCAATCAGAAGAGGTAAAAATATAATTTTGTCTTCTACCACAAAATAAAATCATGGGCAGTAAATTTAATTCACTCAAACTAAATTTTACAGTTTTTTTTTTTTTTCCAAAATCTTACCTAAGGGTGATCCTAACATCCTCTAATTTAAAAAAAAGTAAAATATAAAAAAGAAAACTCATCTCTCTAATTCATATTCCATTTTTTCTCCCTTTCTCCTTCCCATTTTAAAATTAAAATTATAATCATTTTCAAACACAAAGTATGGGGCATATGCTAGCAGGTATTTAGTGGTTCTATGTACATCCAAGTTCCGTTTCTGGACACCTAAAACAATTTAATAAAGTTCTAAAAACACCCTTCTTTTACTTTTTATAAATTTATTTTTCTATGGACCCATCCTAAAACTATGCAAGGCCTTTACTATTTATAAGAGTAAACGTGAAAAAAAATATCATTAAACCTTAGTACTGGTGTTGAAGTTGGGTACGAGTTTAAGGCGGTTTATGCTTTTGGGCTCATCTAGTGTGGTTAAGATCCAAGGCTTGAAGAATGTTGGATTTGGATCATGATCTAGTGTTCGATGAGGCCCTAGAAAAGAAGCGTCATTATACACCTAATCAATTCCTAACCACCACACTAAATATTCTGCACACCTTAGCCAACTAATCTTGTAAATGCAATTAAAAAATCCACACCTAATTTCCCCCATTTTCATACCATCATTAAGTACCCATACCCACCTCAACCCAATTAATTAATAATTCCCATTGCCTTTTCGCTTACGTTAATTAATTCCTTCAAGTTGATAAGACTCAACTGGTTTGCCCGTTACCGTGGGAACTTGTATTAGCCTTTTTTTTTTTTTTTGGAAACAACTTGTATTAGCATTTAGATTCGAACAAACTTTCATGTTTGGCTACTTGAAGAGAGATCAATTTTTAAATCACTTTATGATCGATTTACAGAATTTTATGTTTAAAATCAAAATTATTAATATTTTAAATTATTATGTAAAGATTATCTTTGTAAAAAAATGAATTCAAATAAAAGTCATTAAATGTAACAAATGGATAGACGGTCATTATACTTTTACCGACTTCATTCGTATGTTTTTATACACTAAGCAATCTCATATTTCATTAATTTTTTACGAAGATTTATAAAATCAATTATTCCAATCATAAACATGAAATTTTGCAAAATGGCTCTTGTATTATGAATTGCTCCTCGTGGTTTGAGCAGCTTCTTTAGTTAATCACAAAATTTTAGTATTTATTTATTTTTATTAACGTTTGTTTTCTTTTGTGAGTACTTAGCGTTTGTTTTCTTCACAAGGTTTCTTCTAAGAAATCTCTACAAATGTTTTGTGAAATGCAACAATTATTAATTTACTTTGCTTGCAAGTACTAATAAATAAAATTACCAAAAAAGTTTGATATCTCTGTCTTTTTCTAATACGTACGTAGGGGAGTAGGCTAAACATAATCAAGATAATTTGATTCGAGTTTGTCTTTGGTGAGAAAGACGAAATCGAACCAAACAACTCTTACTTATAGGTGAAGACTAGAGAAGAGTATCACTAGACTAGAGTACTAAGTTGCTTAATATCACTCTTTAAATCAAAAGAAATAAAATTTTCGTATTGCTTGGAGCTTTGAGGTGATTCGTTACCCACCTATAGAACGTAATCAGTCCTACTAATATGAGAATTTAAGACCTCTAAATAAAAAATAAAAAATAATAATAATAATAATAAATCTCACACCTAATTATATTTCCTATAACTTATTGTTGAATATGTTGCTTAGTTACACATCAACGCTACAAAACATAAAAATTTCTTAGATCCTAGCTTAACCTTAAAATAACTTAAATCCAAAGTATAATAAGGGAGAGGAATATTTGCCACACTAGAGAAATTGATGCCCAAGAAATAACCTAAACGCCAATTAACGGATGCGTCCCATTCAGCGACAGAAACGACATTATTTACCCAAACCCCACCCACCAACTCTCTCTCTCTCTCTCTCTCTCTCTCTCTCTCTCTCTCTCTCTATGTCGTCGTCGTCGTCACGGCGGAACGATTTATCGTTTTAAGCACGGCAGTTACGAAGCCCCTAAAATATCATCGCGGTCAGATAAATAGACACGTGGCGGGGTTCAAAGGCCAATACGACACGTAGCTTAATGTCAAGAAAGCGACCCCTGGAACCGCTAATAAAACAACTACACGTGGTGGGTGCAGGCGAATTAACTGGAATGCGTGGCAGCAGATCATTTCCTCCCATCCGATTTATGTCTCACACCCTGGCAGAATTCCACTCTAAAATCACAGATGCACTGAGAGTCTCAGAGAGAGAGAGAGAGAGAGAGAGAGGAGCTCCCGGCGATTCTACAGAGAGAGATTTCTAACCGACGGACGAAAACACGCGACTTCAATCACCGGCTGTCTAATTGGATGCCAGGTATCGGATTCCGGTGAAGAAAGCATGGCCATCGTCGACAGCTACCACCACCAGCGGCACAAGTCGGCCTCCGACACGAAGCTCTTCACCCTCTGCCCCTTCTGGCAGTCGGGAGGCCAAACGTCGTCTTCTTCTTCCTCTTCCACGCAGAAACTCCACGGCTACGGATTCAAATCCAACCCCAAAACGGTGTCCTCCGTCGCGAGATCGCTTCTCCCTCCTCGCCGCCGACTCCGGCTCGACCCCGCCAACAAACTCTACTTCCCTTGTATGTCGCCGTTTCTCATTTGAACGCCCTCGCTGACTTTGCCATTTTGGTCAATTGGGTTTGAAGCTTTGACTTTTCGCTTGCTGTACCTGCATTGGTTATAAAGTGCTTTTAGAAAAAGCAGTTATTACTGTAGCTGACGAATTATGTTCTTGTGGGTTTAATTTTGTAGATGAACCTGGGAAACAGGTGAAAAGTGCGATCCGATTGAAGAACAGTAGCAGGTCACATGTAGCTTTTAAGGTGTTTTCTTATTCCTCTGTGACATCAAGCTTAAAAGTTATGTTGTTATAATTACTTGTCTTTTAAGCAAGAATTTAGAATGCATTTATTTATTTCTTATGTGGGTTATGTTGCATTTATTTACATGCGTTACTTAAATTTATTTTGTTGTTCATTTTTTCCATGTGATTTTTATCAATTTTTGTATGTAGCTTCATTGACCCGTTGAATTGTTTTGTTTTGGCTCCTTTAGTTTCAAACTACTGCCCCGAAAAGCTGTTTTATGCGTCCTCCCGGAGGTATACTTGCTCCGGGAGAAAGCCTAATTGCGACCGGTAATGGCCTTGCACTTGCTCTGTTGCTACAAATAACAAATGTTTATGTTTTGGATGCTCCACTGGTGGATTATTTACTTATTTTTAACTTTAGATTTAATCATTGTTTTTATGTTTTTTTATTGACTATGGATTTGTCATATAGCCGACCCCACTTAGTGGGAAAAGACTTTGTTGTTGTTTGTTGTATTGACTATGGATTTGGCGATGGACAGTGTTTAGGTTTGTGGAGCAACCCGAGAAAAATGAGAAACAATTGGATCAGAAGACCAAGGTTAAGTTCAAGATTATGAGCCTCAAGGTGAACGCAGGAATCGAATATGCGCCTGAGCTGGTAATATAGTTCTCTTTCGCCGACTTACTGCTCATCGTCATAGCACGTTTTGTATTTTATGCCTACATTGACAGGATAATCGAGTGCTAGTTTCCAGTTGTTCATATTATGCTTATGCTACCCTTATTCAGCTTTTGTGGAATTTGATTTTGTAGCTTGCTTACATTTGTGTTCTTTGGTCGGAAATTATTATCGTCAGTTTTAGTGTTTTGTTGCTTTTAAGATCATACAGTTGATGATGTCCATCGGGGTCATCCAAATAGAATTGGATCATACAATTGATGACCTTAGTTTTGTTTAACTGACCTGTTCTTTTCATCCAGTTTGATGAACAAAAGGATCAAGTGACTGTTGAGCGAATTTTGCGGGTTGTATTTTTGAATGCAGAGCACCCTAGTCCTGTAAGTTACTGTGACTTATTTAATGGGATTTGTGTTTCCATCTCGTAGAGAATACCTTCTTTCCAGCATTTGACATTGTGGTTTATAGGCTCTGGAAAAAGTGAACAGACAGTTGGCTGAAGCTGAGGCTGCACTTGAAGTGCGTAAGAAGCCTCCTGCAGACTCAGACCCTCCTCGGGATGTTGGGGAAGGCCTTGTAATAGACGAATGGGTATGAATTTCACCAATATAACATCTGATCCGTAGTACAATGGGTTAAACGTTTAGTCTTATGTGCTTATGCATAACATTTTGGTTTTTTTTTTTTTTTTTTTTCAGAAGGAGCGAAGGGAGAAATACTTGGCCCGGCAACAGGTTGAAGCAGTGGATTCGGTGTAAAAACTGTGATTACCTTTTTCTGTAAGTGCCTTTGGATTGGAAGGGAGCTTCTTTTGCTCATCAGTTTTCGGATAAATGGTGGGGAGGTTATCATAGTGTGAGGAAGTAGGTATTGTGAACTACTATGGAAAGTAGATGGCTCCGGGTTGAGCTGCCCTTTTGTAGATAATTGGTTTTGTTTTAGGATGAAAATAAGTGAACAACTCTATAGCAATCAGTGTGCTTGTGCTTGTATATTTTCAATGTTGAGGTACCCTAGTGTTCTTGGAAATTTGAATTCTCGTTCTTTGACAAGGTGATATTTTAAACTATCTTAATCTACGTGGATGAGGATTCGAGGATTTGAACATCGGTGGTAGAAGGTGGATGCCGTGGCCAACTGACCTATTGACCTACTTCTCATATGTACAATAAGAAATTTTATGGGTTTGAATGTTCAGCTTGTAGATTGTCCATCATCATCTTTCAAACCGGTAAGTTGTGATTCAAAGAATTAAATTCGAAAATCCGAAAAGAATATTTATAATCGTGAATGCAGATTTCTCTCCCATCTTCTAAATATCAAATCGCAGAAACAAGAAAGGAAAAACACAAACTGAAAGAAAAGAAAAAAAATGAGTAACCCTACTATGAACACATCCTGTATATAATTGCCCTCCGTATCAGTTGTCCGGCAGCTGAAAGTTCTGCAAACCAAAAATTTGATGGGAAGGGTTCTGAACGAAGAGGGCCATGCTACATTTGGCTGGATTGAAACCTTCCCACAAGGAGAAGTTGATGGTTCCGGAAATGGTCTTCTTTGCAGCAATGTCTTTGACAGTGCAGAGCTTTTCGAGTCGTCGGACGACGAAGTCGTTGGACAGGACACGTCCTTGGTTCTCTCCCTTGGGGCAGTCGGTGATCAGCCCGTTCTCGTACAGCGCCACCATCACATTGACACCGTAGTTGTCCACCTTTGACCTCAATGACCCTGTTAGGGATACTTGCATGGAGTCCGGCGATGGCCTTTGGAATGTTGCCTGTTCATCCATAACAAAACCAAGTTGCTAGTAATTATCCTTCACTATTTAGTAACTATTCTTAATTTTCATATATGCAATTGAAAACCAAAAAGTAGATTTCAGTTTTCAGTAATTTTCATTTTTTTTTAATTTGAAACTACTTACCAAACAAAATTCAATTTTCAGAAAAGTGAAAACAAAAATGAAATAGTTATCGAACATAGCCTTAATTTTGTGAACGACATTAGCCAAGTGTGACTAGCCACAAGAGATGAATTTACTCTAATAACCAAAATCCTTCTAATGGCAACATTTTTTAATGTCCAAATCTTAGTTTAGACTTGCGGATAATTACGTGACCTCTTGTTTAAATACATAGATTAGATTCAAAATTTAACAACGTAACGTTTCAGACATGACATAATGAAGGTTCTAAAAGACGCTAGGCGCTAGTCAGACGGCGGGCTGGGACTTGGCACCTAGGCGGTTAGGCGGGATCTAGGCGGGCGCCTAGGTGGACTAGGTGGATTTAATTTATATTTCATGTAAATAAATGTCTGTTTATACTTAAAATATATATGACTTCATCATAAACTACAAAATGGAATGACATATATATTATGAGCTATTAGAACATAATGAAAACATGGATAACAAGTATATAATGTGTGTTCCTTTTAAGTATTCAACAAGTCTCTTACAATTTATTGAAAAACTAAAATGCAAAATAAAAGTTATCTATTTTATATCTAAGTGAGTCACAACCGAGGCGGGTCTAGGCTGACTAGGCGAGTGCCTAGGCGGTTTAGACGGGTGTCTCAGTAGGTCTAGGCGTCATTTCTTAATTTTCAAATACCTATACATTAATCGGGATGGTAGCCAACCGCCTAACGCTTAGGCGGCGCTAGGCGGAAATTTTGAGAACACAAGACATAATATGTATCATAAAATAATTCAGATTCAAAGTTACAACATAACATCTTATATAAGAAAATATAGGCTTTTAAAAGACATAATTACTTAATCTACTTTAGTCTTTAGCTTTCTACAAAAGTTTGACACTGAAAGTTATCATCCGCCATTTGGGAAGTGTCAAAGTTGACATTGCATTTTAGGTGTACCAGAAGGTTGATGGGGTGTACATGTCATGTAATAATTCCTCTAAACTATTCCCACTTTGGAACGAGATAAGTATCGCAGTCATGCCTTAAGGTTAAAATATGATTAAATAAAGATAAAGGTAGTGATAGACCTTTGATCATATCAAGTTTTAAGACTAATACAACGAATCTAGATTAAATAATTAGGGTGACAATCATAGAATAAATGTAAGCACTTGCAAATATAATTGTAATAAAAAGCGTGTTATGCATTTGACTTGACAACATTCATCATTGCATCTCACGTTATTAATTTTTCCTTCCTTTCTTCTTTAACCTCTCCATCTCAAATTCAAATTCCCTCTCTTCCTATCATCTAAATTAATATAAAATACCGCTTATTTTTAAATATACAAAAATATATTTATTAGTGTTCTAAAAATTTCATTAACCTTCTTTACGAATGTAATTTTTTTAATTATAAAAAATTTAGAATATGAAATAAAAAATTTAGAGTGCAATGAGTGGAAAGTGTTATTGGCACTTCAAAAATCTCATTCTATACTCCTCACAAATGTATTTTTCTTTTCAAATATAGAAAGTTTGAAGTATAAAATAAGATTTTTGGAGTGCTAATAACAATTTTTTTTTAAATTTACAAAAACAATAACGAGAACAGATGAGAAATGCGAACCTGGAATGCGGGTGCAGGATATCTAGGTGCATCCTTGATCGAGGTTAGCAAGGCACCCTCATCATTGCCAACACATTGGGCCCTACCTTGAAGCACAATCTGGGGGGTGAACATGGTGTCCAGACCCAAGGCCTCGACATAGGCCTTCTGCCGTACAGTCCACTGGCTCGACCCATATGGGTCCTTCCAGCCCATGTAGTCCCAGTAGTCCACGTGGAACGCCAGCACCACCACAGGAGGCAGGTCCGTCCCATCAAAATCCCCTCTCCCAAGCCTCGACACCAGCAGCTCTGCCACCGGCGAGGTGCTGCAGCCCTGCGACGAGAACAGCTCCACCAGCACCGGCCCGCTCCTCTGCTGCTCCTCAGCGGAGACATGCGCTGTTGCCCCCGCAGCAGGCTTTTCATGGGACGTGCGGGATCCTCCTTTTGATCCAAAGCAAGCGAGGAGACCACGCGCCATAATATTATTTACGTCGTGTCTCGTCGCCTAACTGGTGTTGGTGGTGGCGGCGGCGGTGCGGCAGCGACAACGCAGATCAATAAATCAGCTCAAAAAAGAGAGAAAAGACCCAAAAAAAATAGTAAATGTAGGTTTTTGATGTGGGAATATAAGGAGAGATTGGAAGGGAGGAGAGTCGGTGGATGGTTGGGAGGGAAAGGTGGCCAAGAATATTTCTATAAATCTGTTGCTGTTTAATTAGGGGCGGTGTTGAATGCAATGGTGCCGTTTCAGACAAGTATGTGGTTGACACGTAGGTTGTCAGGGTTGGTTTGCATGTCGTTTGTGAAACAAATAATAAAAAGAGCAATTCCACCAGCCGCAGATGTGGTGGAAAAGCTGTCGTTTTAGCGTGAGGGTTTGATGGAAGTCGCAGACAACCTTCTGGCTACGTTTTTTGTGACCTTTTTAATTGGTTTTTACAGAAGACATGATCTAGGACAGCTGGTGTTTTCTAAAGCTTATTACAACAAAAAGAAAAGAAAAGAAAATAAGGGTCGGTGACCAAAGAAGTTGAAAAAACAACCGATTCTTATAGACACAGGATTGGACGGCAAAGCTTCTGGCTGACCCGCACTGTGTGAAATCTGGGTGTGATATTGTTGTTAGGTTTTCAGCGGCGGGGTCCAGATTCATTCGGAGGGCGGGCAAAGCTAAATTTGTTACAACGAAATCAAATGCTAAGCTTTTTAGCTGTCTATATAAAATTATATAATAGTAAACTTAAAAGTAGTAAGTATATGTAATAAAGTTATAATCCTGCATAAATCAAGTTTTAACTAGATTTAAATATAAAAAAACATTAAAAGTTGCAACTGCAGTAGAAATAAAACAGATATCATCAATTTTGTTCATAACAACTTATACTTAGAAAGAAGAGATACCTAATTGAAATTTCAATTATGAACTCTCCAATTCAAACAATATACAAATAAACTCGATCAAGGATAAGCATAAAATGGTCAAGAACTTACTAATTGATGAGAAGAATCAATAGACTTGGAGAGTAAAAAGAGGTGTTTGACTTTGTCTCTCCATACGTCTTTGTAGACGATTGGCCTTCTGGAAAAATGTGTGGCTTTTTGTTCTAGAATTCTAGCCTTTATAGCAACTCCAGCCTTGCTGGTTGCTCGGGCGTCAGGCGAGGAGAAAGGGCCCTCGGGCCGGTGGGAGCAAATCCAGCGGGGAAGGGCCCGAGTGAGAGTGGGAGGTCGAGCGAAGGGGGGGTGGGGAGTCGACGGGCCTGTGGCCCGAGGGTTTTGTAATTTTTTATTTTTTTTGTGTCAGAGAGAGAGAGAGAGATAGCTTTTGTAATTTTTTATTATTTAAACAAACATAAAAAACTATTATTTTTATTGCTTATTGCCAGGGGGAGGGTTCCAAGGGTGGAGATGTAAATAGCAATTACTGTTCATTAATGGTAATTACTATTCATTTAAGGCAGTTACTGTTCAATATGGTGGATTGAATAGTGGATTGACAGGGGAGAGGGCTCCATGGGTGGAGTTGCTCTTAGGAAACTAAAAGTTTTGGATTATTAGAAACTGGAATTTATAGCTGAAAAATTGTTAGGAAATTAAAATTTTAAACCATATTACATACACAATATGATGTGGTCATTGTAAACACGGAAATTTCCTGCGATGAACAAGACAAGAAACACGTGTACAAAATAATATTTGTATTGATGATTTAGGGGTTACAATCTCTTCTACAAATTTAGCCTCTGATTCTATCTTTGCAGTGGGTGAATTTGATGTTGGTGGTCCAAAGGGCCGTCGGGGCTTGATCTTGGGATAAACAGTTGTGCAAATTTGTTGACGTCGTGGATCCAAAGGGCCGTCGGGGCTTGATCTTGAATCAGCGGAAGTTCTTCAAGGGCCGTTGGGGCTTGATTTTGAATGAGGATTTGACGAAGAACGAAGAGAGCTATCTTGATCCTTCGGGATTTGCTTGGGAGCTTTTGAGTTTCAAAGCTTCCAGGTTGTGGTATGAGTTGAATTGGTTATGAATTGGTGTCCAAAATGAATGCCTTGGCCTCCTATTTATAGAAATCCAAAACTTGATTTTTTGGATTTAAATAATTAGATGAAATAAATCATTTCTGCCAGGTGTTGACACGTGTCCTGTTTGATGACTTTTCCGATTTATTTTGATTTTTCGTTTATTCACATGCTATGTGTAAAATTTATGTGACACATAAACATTAAAATTTTAATTATTGATCAACATTTATTTTACCAAAATTTCGATGTCTACAAATGCCCCCACTTCAAGGCGCGTCGTATACATGTGCTTGTCACGTGTAGAAGATGCGTTTTGAAGTCCCTTACTGCAGATGTTGATCCAAGGGCCGTTGAGGCTTGATCTTGAACTGGGTTGGTGATTTCTTCAAGGGCCGTTGGGGCTTGATCTTGAACTTTGTTTGAAATTTCTTCAAAGGCCGTTGAGGCTTAATCTTGGAAGAACGATGAACGAAGAACGAAGAACACTTTCTTCAAGGGTCGTCGAGGCTTGATCTTGAAGGTTGAAATTGGACCACAAGGAGCTTCATGTGGTAGACGATCTTTCGCTTTGGTAGTGGGTGAATCGGCACGTATTTTGTTGCGCTTATTGACTTGCCACAGCTTTGATCTTGAACTGGTTCGGAGGATTTTCTGGTTTCCTCCAATTGTTGACTTTCCACAGCTTATTCTTGAACTGGTTGGAGGATTTTTTGGTTTCCTCCAATTGTTGACTTTCCACAGGCTTATTCTTGAACTGGGTTGGAGGATTTTCTGGTTTCCTCCAATTGTTGACTTTCCACAGACCGTTGTGGTTATTGACTTTCCACAGGCCATTAGTTATTAAATTACCCGTAGGAAGTTCTTTCGCCTAGCAGCAGTGGTGGCAACCTTTTGCCTTTAAATGGTCCTTCAGAGCATCACTTTTCAGCCACTCATCCGTGTTTGGCAGCTTCAGTGTAAAGAGCCAACACCATATCAACTGTTTTGAAATATTTGCTGAGGAAATTCGAGATCCGTCAACAGTTGAAGATGAGTACTCGAGAGCAACGCTAGGTAAGCAACCAGGCAAAGGTTCCTGGCAATCAGTTCCTGATCGGACGTTTAATTTCAGGTTCCGACTGATTGCTTCCTTTCTCCTTGTTCTGCAGGCAAGAACAAGGGCAAAGGAAATGATAGGGAAAAAGCATGATATGAGATACCTTTGCTTTCAACCCCGATGATACGAGATACTTTTTCTTTTGAAGAAGTAGCGGATGATCAGCACATGTGTTGTTGAGCTTGTCTCCACATGCTTCGATGCATCATTTTCATTCGCCTCTTCTGTTCTCCTGGCAGATGTGGTATCTTCTCTAGAAGCATAAGATGTTGAGATAATGGGTACTTCGATAGCAGTGCTAGGTGAGCAATCAGGAAAGATTCCAAGCAGTCGGTTCCTTACCAGGAGCTTGAGTGGAGGTTCCGACATATTGTTTTCTTTATCCTTGTCATCGTAATGAAGATGGAGGACAAAGAAAAGGATAGGGTGAAAGCATGCTATGAGATACTCTTGCTTTCAACCCTAGTGATATGAGATACCTTTGCTTTGATGTGGTTTGGCTGAAGAAGCGTTTCCAGGGAGGAAGAAAACTGAGTTTTGGTTGCAGATGCCTTCGGCAAAGAAGAAGAGTCAAGCTGGAGGTGTGTCTTGCTATAGATGATGGAGGTCGAATTATATGGTGAGCTCCCAACAGCAAGTGGCAGGGTGGATGTGCCTTGTCTCCCATGCTTTGTCGGCCAACCGTCGGGTAGGTGAGTATGATGGACTCCACACGTTTTTCAACTTTATCAGTGATCTCTGACAAAGTTGCACGCGATAGCCGAAAGCTGAAACTGCGTCTAAAAAGTGTTGACGGATTTTACGCAGGAAAATCCGGGTTTTGAAATTCGAAGAGCAGCATTTCTTTAATTTTTTTTTTTTTGAACAAGTGGTTGTGTTGCCTCTTCTTTTTAAAGAGGTGTCAATCATTTTCAACCTGCACGCTTTGAAGATTGCTCGCCTTTGAAAATCGTCCTTGCTGTATTTCTGAGAATTTTTACTCACTTCAACCCTTTTCTTTTACCATCTTTTTTTTTTAGAATGGCTAACCCATCTAACATTTGTTTAGATTTGAGTCTTAGCAGTGACGCAAGTGCACCGCGTCAGGGTAATATATGGCGCCCGTCCTTCTCATCTTCTAATGGCCCTCTTACAGTTGAAGACTCTGTAATGAGGGATGCAGCAACGGCTACAGTTGTAGCTAGAAACCTTATCACTCCTACAGATAATATGATACTTTCACAACGGTCTGATGAATTAGCTGTTCGAGAGTCCCAGGCTCTCAGTGTCAAGTGTGCGAACTCTGTTTCCAACATGAGCCAACGCTTACTTGTTCGAACTCGCCAGGTTGAATCATTGACAGCCGAGGTGGTAGTTCTTAATCAAGTGATCAGACAGCTGAAGTATGAGAATAGAGAATTGCATGTGCTTGCAAATAATTATTCGACGAGCATGAAGAGGAAGTTTGATCAGTTGCTGGACTCCAAAGGTTGGGTTTAAAGTGACAATCGGAGATTTGTGGATGTATTCCAGAGGGACCTTTTTCCTTCGTCATCTGAAGTTCGACCAGGTATTGAGGCTCCGAATAATCCATCCCCAATGCCTCTCTCTTCTAGGGTTCCGCCGAGCATTAAGGCTTCAAGTACTGAGGCTTCACATAAGTCGCCGAGTACTAAGGCTTCAAGTACTAAGGCTTCTCGTAAGTCGCCGAGTACTAAGGCTTCAAGTACTGAGGCTTCTCATAAGTGACATTTGTGAAGGCTTCTTTTTTTTTTTTTTTTTTTTTTTTTTTACGCATTTGTAATTTCTTAGAGATATCAATGGACATGCTTTATTTTACTCAGTATGTCGTGCTAAAACATATATCTGACTAAGATGTGTTACTCCTTTTTATTTTATTTAGATGGTACTTGATGCGCACTATTCTTTTACTCCCTATTTTTAGACGGAAATTCGTCGTCTTCCCCCTGCTTTCTTCCTTTCAATTATTCATACTTGCTAATAGTAGCATACACCATGACCTGTCTTTCTTGTTTTTTTTCTTTTTTTTGTCATCATTTCCTTTTGGATGGTGCCTGTCAATCACTTCTTTTCTTTGCTTTCAGTGGCTGGTCACCATTTGAAAACCTTTTCTTTTTTTTCTTTTTTTTTATTTTTTTTATTTTTT